AAAGGATTCTATGACTCTATGATTCTTCTGGGGCTTTAGCCATGGGGAGAAGCCCAGGCATTTAAGAATTAAGAGGGAAATTTCCCTCTTCAAAATGAAATAGCAACTACAGCTGGAAAAACCCAACAAGGGACAAATCTCAGCTTTTTCACAGCAGCATTAATTCCAAGGTTATAGCGGATAAACATATATTTTCTTCTACTCAGCTCTGGATGTCAGCAATACAGAAATGCAAACATACATTACACATTCAAAGTTTGGTTGTTCTTATTGCTGTGGTATGACTAACCACAGCAATGCCAGATTGGTTTGCTTGGATCAGTCCCAGTTACAGACCAAACCATTAAGCAACCCACAGGATGATTACTTCTCCCAGCACAACTGCACCTTAGGAAGGAAAAGTGCCCCCTACACCCTTAGCTTCCTAGAGAATAAAAAGGATGAGAAGGACTTGTGCTTGACTGTTATCTTCCCCTCCATAAGTTATGAAAATATCTTTCAGAATGGAATCCTGAAGGAACCTGTTGTACAACATATGTTCAACTTATGAACGGATAAAAATCTGTGGCAGACTACAAAAAGGTACTAATATAGAAGGAGTTTTATTTACATCATCAGTATGGATATCAATCTTTTTACATGTACACTTCAGTGTCTTCTTTCAGAAGGTCCAAGCTTCCGAACAGCCATTTTTTTGAACGTATGAACTTTAAAAAAACCTTCAAATGCCAACAACTTATCAAACGTATACTCAGGAAACACACTGTACAACTGTGAACTAAATCAAGATGTGTAAGAACTAAAAATAACTTAAGAGTGACACTAATTATTTACAGTCTCTTTCAGACTCATTTCAGTCATCATTTATCATTCTCTTTTCTATCGATACCTATTTCATGGCTCAGGAGAGACAGGCTCTGATCCTCCAAAGTTCAGAGGAAGCTGAGGAGAGCTATCGCGATGCCTTCACAGCGTGTTCAGAGTTGGCCTCCAAGCCCACCTAGGCAGCTGAAGCAGTACTTCTGTGCAGACCACACTCTCTTCAGCAAAGGCCTTTGTAACGTACTGATCTGTTCAGGCAAGTCAGCGGCTGACGTTTTGCTGCAGTCAGTCACTATCATATTCCTCTATTTCTAATTCATCATCCTCCAGGACTGCTTGAGCTGCAATGGGCTGAGGCTGACTGCCAGGCAGCTCACTCCCACTGCACTGGCTGGAAGAGAGAGGGAGCCCATCCGCTTCCTTCTCCTCCGATGGCTCCTTCTCCGTCCCCGCGGCCACCTCCACAGCGAGCGCGTCGGCACCGTCCCCCTCAGACCTAACGAGCAAGTCTGGCATCCCAGGATCCTTATCAGTAAGCGTTTCCAGCCTCAACCTGTAAAATCATCATTGCAACAGCACGTTACCACGAGAAACGCCTCCTCTCCACACACGCTGCAAGAGGAAGGGCTGCTCACGTGCCACGGGGTCACCCTCTCAGCAGTGCTCAACAGCTCTCCCATCTTCTGGCAGACACACCCTCCATCAGCCAGGGAACCCAGGCTAGACACAGCCCGTGCTTACATCACTACCTTCAGCACTGGTATTACTTATTTATTTAATTTTTAGTAATTTCTTTTACTATTTGTACTTCTCAATCTTTCTAGCATTTCTAGACCAGCATATGACCAGCGTTTCTTTATAATTTTTCCACTTGGAAATAGGAATAGTAAAAATTTACAACATTACTGACAAAAAACTCACCCTGACCAATTCCAGCTGATTAAACACTGTGCACTCTCCTTGATGACAGTTTTCTTATTACAGTACCACTCCCATTCCATTAGTAAATATAATGGAAAATAAATATTTCCATTGACACTGTTGCACATAAGTTATTTTAAGGACTGTTTAATTACATGAAATAACTTATTTTCTATTAGGATTCCTGAAGGAAGCAAACGCTTACACTAAAATACTTACGTTTCTCTACGTCCCCTTTCCAAAAGGGTCAACAAATGAAAAAGGGAGTTACTAATGGAGATACAGACTTATTAGTGCAGATACAAAATGAGAATTTAAAGGTATGCTGCAGATAAAATTAATGGTATAAGAAAATTCTACAATTCATTTGTAAAGTTAAAAATATTTTGTCTTAGACAAGGGAGGTAACAAAGACCCACTGGGGACACTTTTACTTCCTGACTAGCAAGCAAAACAGTGTTTAATACAATTGCTGGGGAGCAGTGTGGTTCTTGTATAACATAGCCTCTACCTACAGGCCAGTGTTTCACAGTTAAACCCATACAGCAAGGCCACAGGGTAAACATGAGGTGCTTTGCTGGCTGCCCTCACAAACTCTCTCTTGTTTAAGAGATGGAAGAGTCTCATTCCAGCTAACTGTGATCTCAATCCCTCATTAGAAACAGACCATCGCAAGTAAAAACAAAATGTCAGGGAGATCAAAGTTATAGAAAGGTAACTGAGGCTCGACTAGTACGATGATTCGGAACAGGCAAAGTGCACTATACTCTTTGCATCAATTCGGTTTTATTCTCATAGGAATGTTTTTCATTTAAAAAAAAATGTATTTTATTCAGATCATGCACTGGAGAAGTGCGTGTCCTAGACACAGGTATGATACAATGGGAAAGCGAGCTAAACATGGGTGAAAAACAAAAGTATAGTAATCATGTTGCCACTAAGGCTGTAGTGTTAGATTTGAACTGGTAAACGTTTTAACAGGAAAAATACAAAATTGTCATGCTGCAAGTGAAGAAAAATGTCATATCACAGATTTACAAAGAAACGTCTTCAATGTACAAGGGTTCCTTTCCTCAACATATGAAGGAAGTCTTTCATTAAGAAAAGACAGAAGCCAGGTTTACCTCCCAAAATGCCTTTTCAGCGGCAGCCTCCCAACATCCTGGATAAAAGCAATCTGAGCTAATAAAAAAGAATCACCAGTATCATATTGGGTAGATCATAACACACATACAGTTAAATATACTGTAAAATTCTTAAGTTTAGTCAAACATTCCTGTATATATTTTGCAATATTTTGGATACCAGAACAGTGTGTACACGTGTATGAATTTTCTTCCCCCAAAACTGTTTACCACATTACCTTACAGATTGTCTAACACACAAAATCAAATCCTTGACATTCATCAGCTTTATTCATTGTGATGTCAAGGCCCTAGTTAAGACATGAAGCTTTTTATTAGAAGTAATTAGCATAGCATGAGCAACCCATCTATCTAAACAGTAATTTTTGGATAGTGTACCACACACAGTGATAAAAATCATGGACAGTCTGCTACTGATCACTACATGAACTGTCTGATATTAGATTACCTCGGGTTACAGTTTGTTTTTTTTTAATGCACTGCAAACTTGGATTTTGTTTACTTTAGCTGGGAAAAGCTTTTTAAAAGCCTTGTAGGTCTGTTGATGTTACTGGAAAGGGATCAGTAAGCAATGAAAATATAGTTAATATTGCCTACGAGATTTCCAGAAGTCTTTCCAGGTCCTCTAGTAGACTTAAAAGAAGCCATAGGCCTCAGAGAACAAAATTAGTAAAGTCAGACAAATAATTAATGACTGGGAAGTGGGGAGAGGGGTACGAGGTACTAATTAACTTGCAATGCAAAAGAGCAGCCAATGCAGTTCTGCAGCAATTTGTGCTGGGGCCTGGGCTACCCAGTAGATTCTTAAATGCAACCCTGTGAAAAAGGAAGTGAAGAGCAAGATGAGCAAGTCTGCTGATGCCATCCAGTTAGACAAGCTAGTAAGGATATGGGCAGCCAAAACACCGTGCAAGCACTTTAGGAGGCGGAGTGAGATGGCAACATGATGAAATTCAAAGGCCAGAATGGACACAACAGGTATCAGAAATCCATAAAATCAAATAAAAAAAAAAGGGACAAATTATTTAAAATGCTCCAACATGAGGAACCCATCCTACAAATTTACAAAACATCATGTACACCTCAATTCTGCCAAGAGAGATGCTTATTTCAATTCTTTCAGTTGCATAAGTTTTAAAAAATGCTCTTGACATTGCTTCCAACCCAACAGGACAGCTTGAATTTTGGCTGTCTTACTAGAAATATCAGCCACATGCATTTACCTGAAGTATTTTTTACTGAGGCAAAAGCACAAACAGTATTGACACTTTGGGTTACAAAGTTTTTCAGTACGCTTAATCACAGAAAGAAGTCCAAGATCAAGAGTTACACTCGTCCTACCTTGGTTTCTCATTGGGTTTGCTAACATTGCAAGGTAAGGCAATAGCTCTGTCTGAAGACACTCAGGTGGTAAACAGAAGCTTGAAAATAGAGATTTTGCAGCAAGGCAGTTTTCTTGGTACTGTGAGAATCACGGGAAAAAGAAACAAGTGGAAAAAAAACCAAAAAACTAGTAAATCATTAATAATGTAGATATTCTTTACCATAGAAGACAGACTTTATTCTTCCCTGCTTACTGACTGCACACAAGCTACTGAAAAATGAAAGCAGGGAAAAAGATATGTCATTAGATATAACATATACAGAGGATAAAAGTGGTGAATTCCATAATTTTTGCCTTTTGCTGGGCATTAAGATTGCCAGAAAACATTTATCCCTTTATTACAGAATTCCGCACCCATCCAGGACAATATTTTTAGATAAATACAGCAAGATAAGTATTAGTTCAAATGTAAAAAGTTGCCCAGAGCTTTGGTATCTTGCGAACAAGCTATTTCTGGTAAACAGATAAAACACAACAGCAGTAATTTGTTAAGCTTACACAACAACTTAAGGTGATTTAAAATGCAGAAAAACTTAAACTTACTTTTAGGAATACTTCATAGTATTTCAACTCTAATTGTCTCCACTAACTTAGGATTAAAATTCTTCCAGTAGTTTGCCAATTTACACGCAGGAATCAGATTTGTCAGAGGCTTCCAACTTATTTTTCCATTACAGGAGTAATACAAATGCAATTGTTTAAGCAAGTGCTTTTTAGAAGTGGCTTATATCAAAGTAGGATATTTGACAAGTTTGGCACTGCTAGCAAGTATCATCTATAGATGAGAAGGCAATCAACTGCCCTACCATACAAAACCCAGCTAACCACACAAGAAAAAGAATTTACCTTTTTACTGATAAAGAACCACTGAGGTTTATGTAAAGGCCGGAACCCCATTCCTCCTTGGTGGTGGGCAAAGGCTCTGGCTGTATTTGAATGTATCACCCCACGGGTGGCCACAGAGGCACTGTATTTTTCCATCTCAAGCCGTGTCTAAGAGAGAAATCAGGCACTATGTGAACTTAAGGTCTCTGTACAGTGTGTCTCGTTTGAAATAAAACACACACTGTAACTGCAGTGACACAACGTGCCCAGCATAGGTTTAGATTACTGTGAAACTTCACCCAAAGCAGCTGAACAGAAAAGCTAGCTCAGTTACTTCAGGGAAAAGGCACATTTCTAGAATAAATTTGTTCTGCTTAAAAGTATTTCATAGAATATTTCACAAACACTATAACCCACTGTAACAAAATACTGACAGTAGCTGGACAAAAAGATGAACTTGCATCTCTTCTATAGCTGATTTAGCATTCATTAACAACTCACTGTCACCTATATCATAAGTTTGAAGTGATACAGCTGAATTCTTATTGACTTGTAAGAAAACTGCTTTCTACAATGCCTAAACACTTAGAGAATAATTTAGCTCAACATCAGATAATTTTAAAAAATAAAAGAAAATGTAAACGTGTTTAAAAAGAAGACACTTACACTCCAATTACTACAAAGGACATCAGCAATGCTCAGATATTCGCTGGCTCTCATTACATCATCTATATCAGAAAAAAAATCTACATAGTTCTGGTGAAGGTATAAATTAAACATGCTTCCAGACATATGTGATTTTTCCACAATATCCTATTGGGGGAAAAAAAAGTTAAAGTTTTACAGAGTGTATAAGGAAATGCACGCTATCAAAGTTAAGATACATTTAGATGGTTAGAGAGCTGGCATACAGGATCTACAGAAGCGATGCTTATCTACAGAGGGGGGGCTGGTCTGCTCCCAGAGAAGGCCAGCAGTGGGGATGGAGGGGCAGAAGCCATTGCTGTCTGTGGCTCTCTTAGTGGGGATAACAGAGAAGGGAGCTCTGACCCCTCTTGACAATGCACAGCACAAGGATGAGGGGTAACAATCACAGGCTGCAGCAGGGGAAAGTCCACCTTCCACCTCAAGTCCATCAGTGAGGTGAGAGAATTTCTGTCCCTGGAGACACTCAAAACTCAAGGGATCATGAGCCTGGGAAGCTGACCGAGCTTTGAAGCCAGCCTCCAGAGGTCCTGTCCACATTAATCACCCTACGACTTCGACAGACTCGGCACACGCGCGTTAAGATCGGTGACAAAGCCACCACATTTGAGAGTTCACAGAAGAGTCTGGTTTGGTTTTTTGAAAACCCAACTGCTCAAGCAGTTCTTGCAGAGGTACCTCAGGCTGGATAAGCAAGGTGTCTCGACGGTATTCTGATAAGTGAGCGGGCAGCTGAGGCACTTCTGATTCTGACATTGGTTCTCCTACAAAGGATTTTACCATCTTTAGTCTTTTAGTACCAGAAACGTGTTACTTTTCTCCACACAGTCAAAAAAGCCAGACAACACACAATTCAGACCAAATATGCAAAATCAGAATAAAAATTGCACAGTACCAAGAACAGAGATGTGTAACTGCATGAATAGCAAGTTTTCAGATATACTGATCATTTTCAGCAACTGTCAACTATACCAGCCACTAGATTACACTGTTTTCAATTCCCAGAAAGCTCTTGATGCACACATAAGTATTTAATTGTAAAGTAAATATTACAGAGCCAATGGCATGTAATTAGTTACATTACACCTCATGGAACAAATTCCACCTATTTTCATATTCCCTCATCTCACTGTTTCTCTTTGGTTGTTTTGGAACTGATACTGTGAATTATTAGCAAAATGTATACGGCCAGTGGCATTATAGAACCTGATTTGGCTGAGTACAGACTGTACCACTCTAAGAAGTATAAATGGTTATAAATTAATAGTTTTTAAATGTGAAAAAACAGTACTGAAACCACACACAGGGAGCAGGTTCTGTACATTTACAGAACCTGAGGGTATAAAAAGTAGAAGCTTCAAGAAGAGTAAGTTGGAAAGTATTCTGGAGGTGGAAAGGGAAAGAAGGCATGACAGAGAAGCTTAAGAGGTTTCCAGGACAGAAAGCAGAAAATACATTTGTCTGTTAAAGGGAAACAAACAGTTGAGATAAAAAGTGGGCAGGAAATGACTGCAGATACACAAATAATGGAGGCAGTAGCTATGAGGCTGCAGGGCTGTTCTCTGGCCTTCAGGAACACAGATAACTACAGAACATTCATACAATAACGTATAGTTCTGCACAAAAGCAAAATTTGGTTTTGTACAAAGCCACAAACATGCTGTTTTGTGTGTTGTGTGCATGACAGGACAGGGACCTCATGCAAACAGTTATGTTATGTTAGTACATACATATAGTGCATCTTAACGAAACCACATTTAGTTACCCAATAGATAGAGAAAGCTCCAATCTCAGTTACCACAAACATTTATCCCTGGTTTTGTACTGTTAACCATCACCAAACATGAGAATTGGAGGTAACTTAAGTACATCTAGCTAAGCAGCTGACATGCTTTGCCCACTGGAAGGAAGAATAAGTCAAAGTTTTCTTACTTTTGCAGTAAATTATTTTCCCCAGAGCATGGAAAAGAAAGATGGAAGCATCTTTGCCACCAATGGCTTGTATCTCCTGCTCTTCTGAACTCTCTGATTTACTTTTCTTTCCCAATTTAGATACCAATGCTGCTTCACATTTTAGTGTGGAGCTCCCTTTCTTCCTCGACCAAAACTCTTTCTCCAATGAGCAGTCTATCAATAAAGGAAAAAATACCATTAGGATAGAGTACATTAGTCCAAAGTTTTTTATTATATTGCTACTGCTAATGTTTTAGAGAAACAAATATTTTAAAATAATTTTAAAAAATGAACAGAAAAAAATATATAAAGGCATTAATAAATAAGACAATTTAATCATCTAAACTAACACACGTCATTCCATTTCTGTCCTTAAGCTACAACTAAGGTGCCAAGTACTTTTTAGAATAAGTCTCTGTCTTTTAAAAACCTAGCATTTTTGCTTAGTCATTCTAGTTCCAAATTGTCCCCAACTTACCTTTCTTAAAATTTTCTTCTTTATAAAGTACAAATGCAGCTATATGTAAATTATGTTTCAGCTATATTCTGTTCACTTATAAATTTATATCTTCTATTTGCACTATCTGTATAGCACCCTCACTGAAACATAATTCAGCAAAGAAAACCTTTCATTTAGGTGATTCTTCCAACAGCTTACTGATTTCCAGTGTTTTGAGTTCCAAGGAATAAAACCCTTCTTTTACTCTAATTTAAAACTTAAAGACTTTCACTCACAATTTTATTTAGTGGCAGGTGAATGCTCCTTATAGAGCTAAGAGAAGTTATCCTTTAAGTATTTTATCTTTCTTCTCTCCCACAATTACCATGGATCTATTTTACCTGTCAACACTACTACAGAGTCAATGTATTGCTTGTCTTCACATAGAAACACAACTGAAGAAATAAATTA